TCGTAGTTTTAAATCTAAATTTTTCAGCTTAGGTTAATTTTGGGATTAACTGTTGATTGTAGTTTTGCTTCCAGTGTATTGTTTACTTGTGTAAATATGTAAAGATGCACATATTTACATTTGGCATCTCATACCATTTTCTTCAGTATTTTCTTCTGTTTTTTAGTAACAAGTAATTTTCTGAATGTTGCCTTCTGTGCACATTTGCTCGTAAACCCATCCACAGAGGGTATCCTTCATCTTCAAGGTCATGTGTCCTATTTGCAACTTCCACTCAGGAGAGATCGTGGAGCCGTTCATGCTTCCCACCCCTCTTCCCTCTGCATTCGACTCTTTGATGTCGCTTCAGACACCCCGCTCTCCCACGTCAATACAAAGTCTTAAACACTCAGGCAAGCACGCTATCATCTTCTCTTTCAGAAAATTAGGATCCCTTTAAAAAAGTTGAAAATGAGATGTCTTCCTGTGCGTGAAGCACACACGGCCCCAAGGCCAACGTTTGATGTGCATCTTTGATGAACTGGGAATTCTCCTGTGCAGCCTCACAGCTGAGGACCGTGTTTTTGCAAATAGGCTGTCATGGAGATTCACTCTGATCTCTCGCTTTACTCCATTTCAGTTTAATAAAAAAATTTTTAGCTGATGGTAGCTTTGGGAGACACACACTTCATATGTTGCAGCCTCCACTGGTGTGTTGTTTTTATTCTGATTGATCTTTTAGTTTCATTAATAAAGTAACACTCATGACGATTGGTTTGATCGTATCCGTGTGTCTTAATGTGCAAGACGTGTGTTTTGCTCTTTGAAATGAAGCAATCACAGCAGTGGAACATGCTAAGGACAAATAGTGGTCTAATTGTAAGCGGATTTGGAGCCAAGCTGGTTTCAGGCAGTGAGACGGGAGCTCACAGAGGAGCACACAAGGGGGGGTGGAGACTTTCATGCACACACTGTTCTCTTCATCGCTTATCCTCCCTCCTCTGCCTCCTTCCGCTCCTCCTGTACGCCAGCTTTCTCTTTCGTTCTCCCTCCCTGTCCCTCATCGTTTCTTTTCTCTGATTGGCCAACAGAGCACTCAGTCGCCTCCTCATTACCTCCCTCTTTCTCCCAGCTTCCAGAAGGATCTACGTCATCCAACAGAGATTTCCAACTGTACAACAGTCGACTCCATAACTAATACTTCGTGGCGCAATCCCAGAGTCCTCTTGTTTTATTAGGAAATCACCTCTTAAAGCCAACAAATTGACCTGGAATTACTGCGGCCATCTGCTGGCCTTAATACAGCTATGATGACGAGAGGATAATAGTTGGTGGGAATGAAGGAAAAGGATAGAGAGGAGCACAGAAAGGTGGGGAGGGATGAAGCACAAGAGTATCTGATGATTTGCTGAGCTGCGGTGAGAGGCAGACAGATCCAGATGCAAGAAATGACATAGATCACAGAAACGTAGGAATCCCCTCCCCTCGTGCGTCCATGGTACATAACCATGATGGGCACCGACACATCAGTAGAAAGGAATTTGGACTCATGTATCAGTAAACATGGGGCTCTGTTTGCATGTTCCACTGCACCATGTTGCCCTCTCCCCTCAATGTGGGCCTCAGCATTACATAACTCTTTGTTTTTGTATTTGACTGGCAGGCCGCATGTGCTCAACTTATTCACCGCTTCGCTGCACAGACTGGGGATGGCAGCCAATGGCGAAGCGCGCTGCTCTTTGTAACTCATTTAGTCCGCAGAATTATTTTTTTTTTCATTTTCTTTTTTGCTTGTTGGTTTCACAAAGCCGCTCTCCCTCCCCTCCTCAGCCAGCACTTAGCTACCATTTTGGCTCGGTGCGCATTACGTCCGATCAGCTGATGTTTGGGTTTTCACAAGTACAGCCTACATAGGTTTTAAACACATTTTCTGCATCCCTTTTATATTTTACTTTACCAGATTACTCCATTATGTAATGAAATGCTCTGAGGCGATTACCCTCTGTGCTTTGTGTCCCATAATGTGTTCATCCAGGGCTAGCTTGGTAACCCGAGTTGATCCTCGTGAATGATTTAATGCTGACCTTTAACCCCATAGCTACGTATTATTGTACTGTAAATTAGCCTCCAGCCTAATGCTTCATAGTTCCTTTAATATTGAACTTTCTTTAAATAAGTTATGTTCCAATTTTAAAAGATACCTCTTGACGTGACCTTCTAATGTGAGAGATGGAGTTTGTTTTGAGCCCAAAGGATTATTTCTCGCCTCTACTGTTTACCTTGCCATCTCAGTAGCAGGTTTGCGCTGATAAAAGGGGGTCAATAAAAAAATTTCGGTTGTTTGAGCAACAAATTGTGGAGACACAACAAAAGGGGCAGCTGGGAACTGGTGGATAATAACAAATATTTCCAAAAAACAGTGAATGAATGGGAGTATTTATCTCATCAGTCTCAGATTAGTCAAAAATCCATGCAAAATATTTTTCTTAGTTGTTGCACTTCAGTTGCATACTTTCCAGAAAGAAATTAGAGTTGTTTGATTTTAAAAAAAAATAAAGAAAAGGTATTTTTAGAATCACAATACTAATTAGAACAGTATAAGTGACTATTAGTAACTATGTTAATCTATCCTAGGAATTAAATAATGACGGAAACAAAAACAAGTTTTGCTTAGAGAAATGCCAAAGGAAACGAGGTACATTCAGAGTGTAATTATCTGATTAGAGGTCTGGGTTGATCACATTTCTATTAACTTTACTCTCTAACTATTAAACTCAGGGCTTTTGCACATGATTTGGATTTATTTTGCATGCTCCAAATATGATTGAAAGGCTTTGAAGAAAGAAAAAGCAGAAACATTTAGGCCTGTTCCCAGCATGTTGAGACATCCCATTAGATCGCTATTGAGAAATAAATATACATTTTATTTATTTTAAACCTTATGGTTTATATTTTCAAAGAGAGACAGTTTCAGAACCCTGGATGACTTATACCTCTGACTGGACCTCTGCTTACACAAATCTTAAAGCTCTGAGAAGTGAATTTAAAGCATATTACTCATAAAAAAAGGAGAAACTGCTCATGAGTTAATTATGCATTATTTCCAAAGGTTACAGAATTCTGAACTAGGAGAATGAGATTATTACTTTAAAATGTGTTCTAAGAAAAGCTTTGACATTTATCTAAATCGCGTTTGGAGTGTTGTAAACATTGCATGCTTTTGACAATTTCAAGGACATATGAGATGCTGCCTTGCATTACCTGCTTGGCTCTAAATAACAGGTTGACACATTTAGTTTTGCCAACATAAAGGAGGTTTTAGAAGTTAAAAAGGCACTTATTTCCCTCGGGAGTCTGTAGAGAGCAGAAACAGACTGGCTGTTCTTAAGCGTAGCTATTCTGAGTATAGGCTATTAAAATGGTTTGTCAGAGGTGACGGAAAGATCAGCTCTGTCGCCAGGGGTAACTGAAGCTAGTGGGACATTAGCGCTTGACTTCAGCAGCTACAACAGCGGTTGATAACTAACAGCTTTGGTCATGCGCCGAAAGGTATTTGTTTCTGGGGCTATAACCTGCCACAAAGTATGAATAGCTTATGGTGATGGGGTTGGGCGCTCTTTAAAACTCTGTCCTGGTGGAGACAATAACACAATAATGAAGCAAGCAGGTCTAAGTCCATTATCTGGTACTTGACCTATTTATCACTTTTAATCTGTGAACAGGCAGCATATCAGGCAGTGAGAGTTCTCGGTTATTCCCAAAGGCAGTGTGTATGTATGTTTTACGTTTCCACAATGAGATTATTACAATCTACTGGTTTGTGGTTCAGAAAATCCTATTTTGATATAGTTGTAAATGGCTCAATTGTGACTTTTTAAACAAAAAATAAAATAAAAAGGCAGTGAAGAAATGCTGTGCTAAAAGGTTTTTTACAAACCATGCAGGAAAATACAGAGCTTGTAAAAGTGTTTGCACATGCTGAAATTTTTCACATGTATTTTGATTTCATTTTATGTGAAAACCCAACATAAAAGTACAAATGGGAAAACTTTAGGTGAAGTAAAAGGAGGATGCATCTTTTTGTGTTTTCGTTTTTACAAAGCTTACATCTTAGTCACACAGCAAAGAGAACTGTGTCTCTGGAGAAGCTGCAGAGAGTCAAGGGTCCTTAGAAAACAAAATCAACAGGATAACAAATCTGATCTGCTTGAAAAATAGCTCCTGTTTGCAATTTCACACAACAAGCCATGTAGGGGACACAAAATGTGGAAGAAGGCTTCTCATCCAATGAAAATGAGTTTTTTTTTTGGGCCCACATGCAGAATACCAAGTGTATTTGAAATCTCAGATGGTTGAGGGAAAGACTGATGAAACTGTCCTAGAAAAAATGCTGTAAAAGTTATTCCAACATGTTTCAACGGCACAACACTCAATATCTGCAGCTAGAATTAAAGCAAAATAGTTCTGATCAAAACATATTGTCAAAATGGTCCAGTCAAAGTCGGACCTGAATCAAACTGAAATCATATTGCAAGACTTGATAAGTGACATCAAGTCTCCTATCCTATCCATACAATGATGAATATCCAGAAATATGAACAGGTGGATTTAAAAAGTATTGATACAAGGGATTAAATATAAATGCAAAACATACTTTCTTGTTTTAAAAGCTTCACTTCACAATTATAAATTAATTTGTGTTATCAAATTATAATATCTGATATAATATCCGAATAAAATACCTTGAAATGTGTGGTTGCAACAAGTTAAAAGGCTCTGTGTCACTAAAAGTCTGCAAGAGCATTAACTTAAATTCTATTTTTCATCAATATTTTTTCATGTTTTGACCATCAGATATTTTAGTAAACAAAGTTGTGCTACAGCCAACATCCTGCTTTTTGTCTGTAGTATTTTGACACATGTATGTGCTCAGCAACTATGGCTAACGCTCCTTTAACCCGCTCATCCTATATTTGCACTCCCTCCTTCTAACTTACCCTTTCCCTGCACCACTTCCACAGTGCCAGACTCTGCCAAGCTCGACCCCACCCCTCCTCTTCTCCCCGCCAACCCCGGTGCCATCCCACCCGTACCCCAAAGCAGTGGAAATGGGAAGCGCGCCCCCTCCGGATGCCAGCCGCAGACAGCACAGCAGTCGCAGACTTTGCTCCAGCAGCAGCAGCAGCAGCAGCAGCAGCGCTACCTGCCCAGAGAGGTGCCACCGCGCTTCCGCCAGCAGGAGCAAAAGCAGCTGTTGAAGAGGGGCCAGCCTCTTCCTCCCGGGACCCTGCCTCTCCTAACCACGAGATATCCCGACACTAGTGAATCTGCAGCATCAACAGTAGCCATAAACCCCTCTCCATCCTGTACCTCTTCCTCCTCAGCCAGCTTGCCCACAGGTCAGCAGAGACACTTGTCAAATCTCCACCTCTGCTATTAGTAAATACTGCGTAACCTCCAGAATGATGCTTGCTGTGTAAGATTGAAATATTGCTCTGAATTGCTTCAATTTCTTTTCATTGTGAGAGGATGTGGAATCACTTTTTTGCGGTTCTTAAAGCTGTCTTCATAAACCTCGATTTCTGAAATGTTTACATTTCTAGGTCAAAATAACATTAAAAAATTTTTTAACTGAACATTAAAAGTAATTTAATTAACTTAAAATTAAATACATTCCAGCTATTTCGCACACATTTTTGCTGAATATCTTTTTGGGATACAAAAAAAAAATTAAGCAAATTAAGCAGATTTCATGGTCATCTATTTTTAATGTGGTAAGAGCAGAAATATAAAATCTTCTAAAATATTTTGTAAGAGATTTTTTTTTTTGTTCTTTTTAAAATAATTAGCACTGTTACATCTGAAAGATTTCTAGAATCACATGAGTAAAATTTCAACAGATTTATAGCTAAATCACACAAATTTAAGAGAATTAATTGAGTGTTCTTTTAAAGCTTCTTAAAATCTGTCAGAAATTTGTAAGCATTTTTTAAATAGTATGCATTTATACTATGAAAGATTTGTGTTTTACATATATGTGAACTTAAGTTCACACATTTCATTAGCTGAAGACAGTGAGAGATTTTCTGCTCCTCTTGACAGTGTTCTCTGCTCCAAGCTGGGTTTTTGAAAGCTACATTAAATTTCCAATAAAAAGCTTTCAGTTTTTTTATTTATTTCTAAGCAACTATCTAACTCTTAAGCCTGCAAAACATCTTCAGTAAATTCACATCTTGCAGTGTTGAGGTACTGTGCATAGTGAAAAGTTTGAGAAAATAGCAGGCGAATGCTAGCTTCCCTCCGCTTTCTTTTGATGGTTTGGCATCATAGCGCGTTTGTTTTTTGTGGTTCTTGTCTGTCATTTGTGGATAAACATCAAACTGAGAGTTATTTTCCTCTTTTGTAAACTAAGTGCTTTGTTTTGAATGTCATAATCAATATCTAGCGTCATAGCACGGCTGTACGCAGGTGTCTCCCAGATGGCTGTTGGTCTGCAGCGGAGCCTCATCTGAGTTGGTCACATTAATTGCCACTTTATGAGTTTGTTCCTCTTCCACTGGCAGTGGAATTAGCAGCAGTCTGGCCATTGCTCAGATACATTACTGCAAAATATCTGAGCAACAGATATTCTAACAGCAGAGCAAAATATTTCAGTGCAGACAATGTGACTTTATTAACTTTTACCTGCGACTTCATTTATTTACTGGCATTTTGACAGTAGTTTGTGCTAATTTCTTTCCCTGATGATTCATTTTTGTACCTTAGATTGAACTCTCCACATTTTGACAGTGACTATTGATATGTGGTCCCTTTCTATTTAGCTTTTCTGGGTTTTTTTTTCTTGGACTGCATCTGCTGTGCCATGTGTTATGTTTTAGTTTTGTTTACCACTCTGCCTCTGGGTTTGTTCTTGTTAAACTCTGCAGAAACATTTGGATCACAGGTGCTGCTGGCCACTGTTTATTCCTCACTTTGCCAGGCTGGGATTTAGAAACGGGGATTGAGGTAGATGAAAAGTAAACACAGCTGGCTATTTTTTTCTCTCTGTGTGCTTTCCTTCCTGTTGCTTTCATGCTTTTCCAAGTGATAATAGTCAATTATTTACCAATAATTATCTGGTGTTGATGAAGAGCCTTCAGGGCCTTTTGCGTCATGTGAGTGATGCAGTTTAATTCTCTATAACTGTCTCAGGGCATCACTCAGCTCCTCCTCTGATTGTGTGAATGCAGATTTACTTTCATGGCGATGATATGTTTACCCTCTTGTCGACTCTCTCCCCTCCTCCATCTTCCTCTGATTAACACCCTCGTACTGTGCTCTGAGCTTCAGTGTTTCCTGTTTGGGAGGAGGAGCGATACGGAACGAGCGACTTGGCCTGCTGCCTCGGTGAGACCGAGGGAAGCAGAGAAAGAAGTAGAGAGCCAGAGTGGCAGAGGTCCAGGTCTGTGGGCTGAAGTGACTCATAGCTTACGGTAAAAGCTGCTGCTTCTCTCCACCCCTCTCTGGCAGCCCAGCTCAGCTCTGCTTTTGCTCTCTGTGTGTCTTTGAACCGACATGTTGCATTGGGATCGAGAGAAGTCTACGTTCCTGACTAAAGACCGACTGTGAGGAGCTTCTCTCCCAGTAAAACAGATTTCAATGAGCCTAACTCTGTCCGTTTCCACTGCTCGTCCTGAATCAGTCTTATAAGCTGAATATGCAGCGTTAGCCCTACAGGTAAATACTGTCTTAGTCATATCCTGGTCACACAGCAGAGAGAAAGATTGTCCCCTCCTCTCTTTGATCTAGTGGTGATATTTAACAGTAGGAACACACTGGCTCCATTCATTGCCCTTCTTTCCACTTTTCTCTCCATCTGCCTGACTCTGTATTTCATTTTCCGGCTACATGTGAATGTCTTAAAAACCCAATCTGAGAAATGTTTCTTGTGTATTTATATGCAAAAACAACACAAACATTTCCTTCCCTCCTAGATCAGAGGGACTTGTGTGTCAGAGTATTAATCTGGTGTGAAGGCCTGTAAACAGTGGAGTCTTGGTGTTTTTGCTTGATAATTACATTTCATTCTAAGGATTTTAGATGTTAAATTTGCCCTTTTAATTTTAAGACACAAAGAAATTTAGTTTCTTCTATTTCTTCTGTGTTTTGCAGTGAAGTCATTTCCTTTCGCATGTTAGTTGAACTCTGAATTATTGGCTCGGTGTGAATCAGATGTTTTATAGTGTTTGACCGACTTGGAAGATGCTTTGTTGGGCATTGACCACAACAGCTCTATCAACAACATTCTATGGGGATGCTTGTTATTTTTAGCAATGATCAGAGATGTTGTCACAAGAAATGACTTCATATTTCAGGAAGTGACTTGTGTGTTGTGATGTTGCTTCCACCAGGTGACCAAGACCTTGAGTCAATGTCCAGATGCCCTGCTGTCCATGATGCGGTCTTCTCTGTTACCAGCAAATTCAAATTTGGTTCTCTTTCAAAAGTGACATGAGAAAATGTTTCTCTCATTGTCTTTGTTTAGCAGTGAAGCAACCTATGTGTTCGCAGCTTCACTTTGACTGGCTTTGTTTAACTCTCAGCTCTTGTCTTGACGCGTTTGTGGCGTTGCTGAAAGGATTTACAGCTAACCGCCTTTGCATTTGTAAAACGCTTTTGTTTATAGCTTGTAAAATAATTAACGACTTTTATATACCAGCGGGGAGCTGCCGATACAACAGAACAACAAAAAGACTTCTCAGTGTAAACATGCCTCGATGTGTACAAGAGCTGTGCCGCTAATGTGTTAATAGCTTGTCTGCTGGAGAAGAGGGTACATGCACGATAGACTTGATGTACTCCTTAAGTCTGCTGATCATGCCGTGAAAGAGCCTTGGGAATACCCTCAAAGAGGTCTGGGATGTCTTGTGATGTGATTAAACATCAGCTCTGTGTTAACCACAAATGTTCGACACTCGCGCTTTCTGTTTTTCTATGTTGGCTGACTTTCTCGCTGCTTTTTCCTCCCCTGACTTTGTCTGCGAAGCTCGGTCGTCTCTGACGCACGCGTTCTCCTCCTCCGTCTCCAGTCTATAAAAAAAATAAAATAAAAACTCGCGCATTTTCTAGTTGGCCTGAGGGTGGGCATTATTAGTCACACCACACATTCCATATTATGCCAATCTCCCTGTGATTCTAGATTTTTTTCCAATGTTGCCTTTTTTTTGGATAGCCAACAATCCATGTCCCTGGGCACTTTAATTTTGAGGAGGTATAAAAGAGAGCTAATTTTAAACTTGAATGCTGAGGACGGGCCTTGAGGAGAGAAAGAATACAGAGAGAACATGAAGTACAGATGTCTGAGTTGTGTAGTTTCTTCATGGCACAGCGTATCCTTCTGTTATCCTCTGTATTTTTCTCAATGTTATGATGAGACTCTATTAATGTCAAACTAAATGTACTGAAACTGAACACATAGAAATATTTCTTCTCTAAAGAATGGGTAGGATTTTTTATTAAACTTTGCCACATTCAAAACACACATTTTAATGAAATCCTTAAATTAAAAATTGCTTCTCATTGGGAAGTGGAAAGAAAAGCACACAGTATTTTCACATTCTTTGCAAATAAAAATATAAAAAGAGCATACATTTATACTCTTCCTCTTTTTAAGTTGGTAGCAGTTTTGTAAAACCTGCAAAAGACTTGAAACCTGGACAGAGGACCTTAAACATACAACTAACACTATAATATAATGGTTTATATCAAATTATTTTCATGTGAGCCATCAAAGTCTAGACGTAAATCAAATTCAGAATCTGTTGTAAGACCTGTAAATTGCAGTTTGCCTTCTCTTTAAGTATTCAGTTATACAATACTTTGTTTTGAATGAATTAGTCTAATATAAGTACTCATTTAAGGAACTGTATTTTGATAAAGTCGCTGTTGTACTGCCTTCAATTTTAATGGTAAATTGTAACAGGTTAGCCTGTAGCATGCAATATGTGCCCGCTTCAAAGCACTGCAGCAGCAATTTAGTGTTAAATATGAGCTTCACTTTATGGCTCCCAACCTCAACCGCAATAGTAATTTTAACTCATTCATGCATGTAAGCTGTTATACTTCATATTTCAGTGAGTCACTTGTGTGTCGTGATGTTGCTTTACGACCAAATCAAGCCATTCTTAAAAGGTCACATTTTGATTGACCATCAGCACAATGTGAACTTTCTAATCATCGGACAAAGAGGCAGTACAGTTTTTGGGGGGAGTTCTGTATGTTCCCATCTAGGAGGATGTTCATCTGGCAGGCAGCATGCATTGTCAGCTCTGTACCATCCAGTCTCTCTGCCCTTCGGGGACTTCATTAAGCCAGGAACTGTACAGCTGAGGCCCATACTTTCCCTCTAGATTATTTCCAAACATCTATCTCTGGCTTTCGTTTTTTAATCTTGCAGCCTTTTCTGTCATACTCAACTAACATTCTCCCTCCCACCATATATTTTGTGAACATTTCAGCCAAAACAGTCCTGGAGAGCAATTCTTTAAGATTATTCTAAAAAGTATAAATCAGTGCAATTATCGCTGCCTATTGGATAAAAGTCATGTAAAATAAACGTAGCTAAGGCATTTTTGTAATTTCTACTTTTTGTTTTATTTTTGTAAATAAAACACAACAAAAAGCCCTGCATCTTTTAGCTACAACCAAAAATGGGAGGAAAAAAAACAAGAAAACATACATTTCAAGTAAGCAATATGTTGTCATCAGACTTCAGGGAATGTCTAATAACAAAATAGCTTCTCAACTCAATTTATCTATAGTAATAATTACAGCAGTAATTTAAACTGTCTAAATAACAAGCCTGTTGGGCGATCTCCATTTATCTGGAAGTTATGAACATTGAGGATGATATGGAAAAAAGCAGCGAAGAGGTGATGATGCCCACTGTTAAGTCCCCCAAATATCCTAAGATCTTCTTAGAGTGCATGGTATCACAATCTCTTGAAATATCAGGACAGCTAAAGAAAAAAATAATTTTGATTTTACCAAAAAAAAACAAAACACTCACAATGAGGTATCAGTGTTTCAGATAGAAAATGATCCTAAATACATGACCCAATCAAAACAGAACAGACTGACCATGGGTCCAGAATCTGATCAGGTCCAGATCCATAGTGCACAGGAGAAGGGGTGGAACCACAGCCATAATAGGACCCTGTTTTCCAACAAACATTGACTTATTGTTGTGTTGTGAGGATGCCAGGATAATTTGTAAACAATAGCAGCGTTGATCCAGTGGCCCCCTGCTCTCCTTCTTTTACCAGCCTGCATGTCGTCCTCCTGTCCACACCACCCATTTTTTAGCACTTCTCTTATTTTTGCAGCTCTAGTGCCTTATTTGTAATCTGCTCGCAGCTATCCAAAACGTTACTGTGAGTTAAGTAGAGATTACATCATAGTAAAGCAGATTTTTTTTATTTTCTTTTAAAATCTCAGTGTAGCCTCAGTTCATGTTTGATGTATGTTTTTCCATAAGCAAGCATGTGCAAATGCAAGAAAACAAAACTCCCGAATGCAGAGTGGCCTTTTAAGAGGTTTCACTTGCTGTCATTTGCCTGCTGCTGTACAAGAGGCTTTCCATTGTGGACGACAGTGCTAATTGCAGACCGAGCCAAATATTTAGTCACTGACAGTGTTGAATGGATGAAAGATATGAGGGGAAGCCTGGAGAGGTACAAGTGTCCTCTTGTATGTTTTTTCTTTGTTTTTTTACTTGATTGAGAGTACTTTATGAAAGTCTAACCCGTTCCTCTCCAACAATCCCTCTCCCTCCCCCAACCAGTCATGTTTCATTGCTTTTCCAGAAAGGGAGAATATCCTCCGTCAGGACAGGAATAGAACGCGATATAAATAAAGCCAGAGGGAGTCAATAGAAGAGGACAGACCCAGCCAAAGCTGTGTTGGTGGGAGGGATGTAGCGAGACGGGTGAGGGAGGAGGGAAGGTGTGGAGGAGGTGGGATGGGGGTTGTTTCATGCCGCGCAAGAGCTGTGCAACTTCTTGGCAGCATTTCAGAAATGAGCCTCAGAAGCTTGGCGAGCCGAGCAGACATATTGAGACAAGGATGGTCGCTGCGTTGCACAAAACCTAGCTCTTTGCAGGATGGTTGGAAGGCACCTCTCCACAGGTATTTTACTGCTGTCTGTCCTCTTTTTTTTCCCCTCTCTCTCTCTGTCTGTGTTTTTCTCTTCTGTCCGTCTCTTCTCCGTTGTTTTGGCAGCTTGTATCTACGTACAGTCTGAATGACTACTTTTTACCATTTCAGCTGCAGCGACAGTGCATTTCGAGTGTGCAGTGTTGAGTTGCTGCGTGTTGCGTTTGTCATTGCGAGTGAGATGTGTGTTTTCGAAGCAGTAGTGGAGCTGCAGACAGTAGATCAGAGGCTTTTTGGCTCTCATTCAGTACTGAGAAAATGGCGGTCCTGCACTTTACAGCAGAGAGAGACGCTACAGAACGACAGCGCTGGGTGTCAGAAACACAGTGCCCTGTTTCCCTCCTCCCTGCTCTCTCACCATATCCTCTCTCCCTTTTATGTAGTGGCGAGCATTGTGGTAAGCTTGAAAACAGGAGGTGCCACACATATATTGTCACTTCTCTCATGTTGTTGTGACATAGTTGCCGTATTTGCATGCAAACTATGTGTACATGTGAGGGGGTGTGTAAACAAGAACCAATGCAGCATGAGGAACAGCTGTAATCATGCAGTAATGCTGCACTACCTTCATAATCATAGTCCCTGATGTTTTGTAATGGTAAAAGCTTGACTTTGTTTTGCAGAGGGGTAAAGGCAAATAAAAAGACAGGGGTTGATATTGTTCCAAGGCAACAAAGTAGTCATGCTTCATGCTAAGTAATGGTCATGTTTGTTGCAGTTTGAAGTTATTAAGCTAGAGATAAGACAAGCTCTAGGAACTCATCCGTGAATGCATCTGTCCTGGTGTTCAAATATAAAAGCTGTTCTGTGGCAAAGTGTGTAACACTAAAAAAACCTACAATGTCCAGCTTGCACCGTGATCAACTTTACTTTGAAATAAAATCTGCAAATCTGACGTTGACATAAATATGTGACTAATGCACTGTAACTTGCAGTAAAACATATGTTTGAAAATGATTCTCTAGAATTGCTCAACACTTGGATTGTAACAGTCCTTGTTGATCAACAGATTTTAATCTAGGTGGTTTCCATTTCGACCAGTAGGTTTTTGTTGTCACAAAGGGTTTGGATAACTTTACAAACAGTGAAAACTCGGACGTTGAAATATTGGATGGCACGGTACTTGGCGATCGGTGATCAACCGTCAGGACATTGATCAACCCCTTCTTAATGAATGAAGTTTCATAAAGTTTGAGAATATATATAGTGTTGTGTGATCATTCTTCTTATTTTTTTGTTGCACAATCTCTCTTGTCCAGACTCAGAGTCTTTTTAATCTTCACTTATGTTGTTTTCATCTCAGGTTTTTAACAAGTTATATGTCTGCAGTCTCTAATGGCCCTGCAAGGAGGTTGAATTTAGCTATGGTGATCAATATCTGTATCGATTTGGCTATACGTCTTGAAACATTATCCTACTTAAAAACACTAGTTTATTATGCCAAGCAGTCTAACATGATTTCTAGGGTCTTTGGAAGAGAAACAGTCACAAAATCACAGATCTTCCACCAAACTTACCAGTGCTTTTGTATTCCTCTTTTTGTTTCACACCAGACCCAACTGGAGCATTGACCACTGAAATTTCTGTCTTGGATTCATCTGACTAAATTATGCTTTTCTAGTTAAAATTGTAGGGAGCTCTGTATGTTTACGTTTATCACGGTAGGACAAGAAAGGCTATTCTTGGAATCCCTCCCAAACAATCAGGCATGAAAATTATTTAATGGATGGTATGAAAACCCCTGAGATTCAAATCTTTGCTGCGCTGTCCAACATCAGGCTTTGGAAAATATTGTTTTACTTTAGTTTCCATTCAAAATACAAACTATGACTTAATATGAATTCTTTTATAACATGCATCTTTAAGGAAATGCTGAGGATACCAATAATTGTGCCACTGTTGAACTTGTTGAAGCCAGTTATTTATTAACATGTTTCATACTGAATAAATTTATTCCAGTTTAATATTTGATTTTTAAATTTTTTGTTTGAAATTATTGTAATGCAATAAAAATATTTTAAAGCATTTCACACATCATTAGATGCTTACATTGTTTTTTAGCCTTGCTTATGTGTATGTTATGAAATTGTTTAATCATGTCTGTCTGCCCTCATTTCTGATTGGGTTTTGTTCTTTTTCTCTCTTCATGTGCACAGTACTGCCCCCGCATAGTGGCCAAGGAACCCAGTATGATAACCCCATCTGGGGACACCTGCCAGCCAACAGAAGTGCCACAAGTGCTGCATCTTCCACCAGTCCCAGTGGCTGGGATCAACTGATAATTGACCAGAAGGACTCAGAGGCTTGGCCTTCTATTACTCTCAGTCAGAGCCAGGATTCTCCAGCAGGATGCCCTTTGGACACTGACCCTGGTCACCTGACCACCAGCAGCAGTAGTTCAAGCAGTAGTTGTAGTGCAGTGAGTATGGCCACAGGAGCCAATAGTCAGACAGGCCACTTCGCTGCCAACCACCTTAACAGCAAAGCCAACAGTGGGCCTAGCCCTGTCAATCATACTGGAACCAGCATGCTCTCAAGCCAGGTTGCAACCAATCGCAGTTGGGGATCTGGGCCAGGACCTTCTCATTGCCCCCCTCAGTCCTCAGTGGGTAATGAAGGAAAGTGCGATAGCCCAGTAGGAGGAAGCAGCAGGGCCTGGGGTTCCTCTTCATCATCCTCCACCACCAACTTTAACTTGAACCTAAACCCTAATGCCAACCCATCTGCATGGCCCGTGTTGGGGCATGATGGAGGAGGCACAGGGGGAGGCAGCTCAGGTGGAGCCAACACCATTTCATCTCCTCAACCTACACCTAATCTCTGTAACACTCCTGGCCCCCCACCAGCCCAAACCAGTGCCTGTTCTGGAGCCAACAATAACGGCAAGTCTTCTGGGATTGGCAGCGCATGGGGTACCATAATGACTTCTGATGAATCACACCTCACTCCATCCACGAATGTGTCTTTCAGTTCTGAACCTCAAAACCTTAAAACTGATGGACCAAATCAGACTAAAAAACAAGAACCTCCTAGCCCGATCCAAAACTTGTCTGGTTGGGGCAGCTCACCTGTAGGCTTGGGTTCTATGGGACAACCAGGGGGTTCACAGGTCAACGGAGAAGATGGCAACTCTTTGTGGGGTAATGGTGGCAATTCAAAGCCAACTTCGTCAAAGGAAGGACCTGGCTGGGATTCCGCTTGGGGAAATGTGGGAGGTGGAACTGTAAAGTCTGGAGGCTGGAGTGAACAGTCCAGTGGGGACTGGGGGAAACAGCATAGCGAAGAGGCCCAGGGAGGCTGGGATGCGCCCAGCTCTCCTCCCCAGGACTCACAAGCCAATACTTGGAGCAGAGCTGTGAGCACAGCTGGTGCCAGTGAAGGGAGCAGTGACAGCATGGAAGGATATCCCCAACAGAAAGATCGCCCAACCAGAGAAAAAACTGTTCCTATGATGCCTGCCCAGGATCTGGACCCCAGGGTGCTGTGCAACACCGGCTGGGGTCAGACTCCTGTTCGACAGCACACAACCTGGGACATGGACGATTCTAAACGCAAGAATGACGCTGGCACTGATTCATGGGGCTCTGGGCCTACAGCTCCAAGCAATGTCCAGGGACCCTCAAACACTAACACGGGCCCCGCTCCGAGACCTGACTCTGGTAACAAAAATGATGTGCCTGGTTCACAGGGACCTTCTGGTTGGGGTGGAAGCATGGCTGCTTCACATGCATCCAATTCCGGTTGGGGAGACACACCCACCAATGTAAAGCACCCAGTAGGGCATAGTGGATGGGGTAACACTCCAACAGGAGGCCCTTCCAACAGCATACCCAAGAACGGGGCTCAATCTTGGGGGGAGGAAAAATCATCTGGCTGGGATGATTCACAAGGCAAGTCAACATCACAGAGCTGGGGAGAGCAACCCAAAACATCCAACTCTTGGGGCAGCAGTGGAGGAAGCAATAACACTGGGGACTGGGGAGAACCAGAAGAGAGTAAAAAGAGCTCCTCTGGCCCTGACTGGAAAGGAGAATCAGGAAACTGGAAAGAAAACAAACGAGATTGGGGAATGTCAGGACATGGAGGTTCTGGAGCTGGAAACAGCAGCAGCTGGGGTGACTCTGCACCACAGCGCCCATGTGGTCCTCCTCAAGGCTGGATGGGCAAGCCTCAGGATGGGCCCAGCAGTAACAGCGGAGGAGGGACTATGGGCTCTTGGGGTGGTCCCGGCTCTGTGAAGCAGGGTGCATCGTGGGGTGGTGGTAAGAAAGAACCCTCAAATGAAGCAACAGGGTGGGAAGAGCCCTCTCCGCCTTCAATCCGTCGCAAGATGGAGATAGATGATGGGACCTCTGCCTGGGGTGACCCCGGTGACTACAATAAAGCAGTCAACCTGTGGGACAGGAACAACCCAGGGACGGTCCAGGCTAAAGTTACTACAGGAGTTAGTAACCCTCCAGCTCCTAGCAATAACCACCCCCACGCTCACAATCACTCCTATCATGGGCCGCCTGCACCTTTACAGAACCATAGCCAAAACGCTCAAAACCCAGGCCCTGCCAGTGGGGCTGCAGATCCTTCAGTGCAACACCAGTCTGGAACACCTCACATTAGGGGTCCTCTGATAGCTCAAGGTAAGATAAACTATTGATAACATTTTACAATCTGCTGCAGTGAATTCTGGCTGGAATCACTAAGTCAGTGTATTTGTTCTGAAATATTCCAGAATTGAAATCTCTTCTTTTTCACCCTTTGAAGTGCCAAACATAAAAGCTGCTCAGGTAGTTTGCACAGTGCACCCTTAAGCTCCAATCTGTTGATCCACTTAAGGTAAAATCTTGACCCAGTTTGTACCGTTTGGATTTACTCCTAATCAGCGAGCCTCTGGTAACTCTGGTCATCCTGCCAGCTCCTCACAATGGAGAACATGACTTCAGCGGTGGCCTTGGCAGGCAGAGACTATGCAGGAAAAGGGTTTACAATCATGCCATGTGAAAATATACCACAAACAGTTTGAGTCAGATCAGAAGTGATTATTTGGAAGCCACCATCTGTCAGTAATTGAGCTGAAGTAGGTGGCGCAAGCCCCCAGGCAGCTAGTAAGGGCAGATGCCCCCTGCTGTTCCTCGCTAGAACATACCTGCTTTTCCTGCTGGTAAATAAAAGTCATACCAGGCATTTTTATTTATCTCTTAACATGAAGTGAATTAAAAATAAGGAACAATAACTTTTATGTTCATCACAAAGTGTCAGATTAAATTAAGAAAATGTATCTCTTTTGGATCTGTGTACAGTAGTTTCTGGTAGGTCCTACCAGAAGGTTGGATGTTAACTATAATTTTGGAGCAGCATTTAGGACCTGACCTTTTCCTAGAGGGAGAGCTAAGTTGGGCCTGGCATTGCTGCAGGCATAGTGGCAGCACTGTGCTTTTCATGCCAAAACTCACTGGAATGAGCCAGATCCTAAATGGACCCTGCCTACTTCTATCCACAGTCCTGCTCAGCCAGGCCGTCTTCTACCTCCCTCCCTGCCTGCCTAGCTGGCACTACTGTCTAAACATATGATAAACGTCTGACAGACTTGTTTGTGTTTTGTCAAACACTGTTTACAACCCATTTTTCTACAATGATTTAAAGGCACCAGTTGTTCCTTATATTGTTTTACACGCCAGTGAGTTGATCCCCTTGGGATAATTTAGTTATCTTATGAGTCGTAAGGCACAAAAAACATTAAAATACAGCAACCCTGAAAAAATAATATATATAGGCACTTGCATAGATCAAAAGCGAGACGGGGTAGCCAGTAGACAATAATTAACCCTGTTGAAACATACTTGTGAAAGTAAAGTTTTTTTTTTCCTGGAGCACTATTCAAAACATATTTTACTAAGTGCTTCACATAAAATACTAAATAAAGCAAACAGCTAATAGAAATTAAGCTGTAAACAGTGAAACAGTTTTACTGGGTCTGTCTCCCCACTTCTCGAACAGACAGACCCAAGAACCAAACACGGTTCTGTCAAATATTTGGATAAAACTGTTTGCAATAAAGACTTTTAACTCAATAATTGGAAGTTTTAAATCTTTACATGAAAGTCTGATATTTAGCTTAGCTCATTGCCCAGATTCAAATACTCTTGCTACAATTTTAGGAATGCACGTGTGGAACAAAAATTAATTATCTACAATATTTAAGATTACATCTAGACATATATAAAATATTGAGTCGTATAAGTTGTTTTTGTACTTCTCTCTCATATCCAGCTGCACCTAGTAACTCATAGTCTTATAGAACAGATCTCCTTTGTGTAGGTAAAGGGGAAGACCAAGGCCAGCGGCCGGGAAGGGAAGAGATAAATAGTTAGCGCACCCCCACTATGGGAACAGGATGAGATGCTCAACTTATCTGAGTGGCCTTGGAGGAAGTTAGGTAAAGGACGCGTCCCCCTCTGGCTGTTTATTTGGTTCAGAGTACCCCTGTTTATGTTATGTGTCCTAATTTGGTATTGGACATTTGAAACGACTCCCACTTCCTGTGCGCCAAGGAACTGTACCTGATTCTGTGATTGTTTCAGCCTCCTCAGAACACACCTAGAGTTTGCTATAATTTTACCTGTGTTGCTTTCCACTCGCAAGTGATATTAAAAGTTTTTGTTCTTTCCACTTTTTCTGTCCCAGTCTCATCTCTGGAAAATCTGTGCATTTCAACACATGATATACAGGCACTAACATTAATGATGTTTTTTTTTTTTTACATATCTTTACTGGTCTGATAAGTAAAACTGTACTTATTGTAAGAACTGTTATGTATTGTCAGCTTGTTGCTGTTTGTTTCTGGATAGGGTATGGAAGAGGTTGGTCATGTGCTATTTGTTTGGTCATGTGATAGTGACAGCCTAGGACTGTGGGTGATGTTTAATTGAAGTACAGAAGCAGTGGTGAAGTCAGAGATGTTTTTTTTTTTTTCAAGGTGTCAATAGGGTAGTAAAATATATATGATATTGGTAAATACCTACATTTGATACCTACATTTTTATATTAGTGCATTCCTAAATAATTTGATATAAAATTATTACCAAAAAAGTGTCATTTATCACCCACACTTTCAAACTTATGAGAAATACTCAAAAACTACTAAAATTTCTGCGGATGCAAAAGATGTTTTCTGGATGCGAATTGTCTTTGAGGTTTTCACATTGACGAGCCGCTGTTCTTGTGCTACCTCCAGGTTGGGGAGAGCTTCCCAGCTCCCACATAAAATCGGAGAGCTCTTGGGGAGAAGCGGCACCCTCTCCAGTCAGCGTGGATAATGGCACATCTGCTTGGGGCAAACCGAGCGGAGGCGCCGGAGGCTGGGGAGATGGCAACCCAGACAACTACGGCAGGAGCAACCCAGCGATGACGGCAGCGCCCGGCAAACCTGGTAAAAATAAAAATGCTGCATATCTGATCCTACTTAATATTTCTGAAGAATAATCTGCTCCTCTGCTGAGTCATTGCAAGAAAAGCAAGAGTTTTTTGTGTGATGAGTCAAGGACATCAATATGACAGGGTTGCAGCCCTTTAGATTCTACACATTGAGCTACAGTGACCCCTAGTGGCTATTATTCTTCACTGATAATGCTACTACCGTACTATTAAATTCTACCAATGCATTTTGTTTTGCAAGAGATTTCACACATGTAATGTGTCTTATAATACACTTTATGGTTTTTTTTTCTTCTTTTGTGTACTTTGTAGCCTCCAAACCTATGCAAGATGGATGGGGAGGAGGAGGTGAAGAGCTCAGCCTTTCAGGGGGTCAGTGGGACTCTGAGGAGGGAGACATGTGGAACAGCACAGCCTCCCAGGAGAGCAACTCTTCTTGTAACTCCTGGGGCAACGCATCCAAAAAAGGCCCACAGAAAGTACGAAGCTCTTATTATAAACTCACTATGGATGTTTCTATTGAACAATGTTTCTTTCAGAGTAACCTATTTTATTCTTTTAACATCTAGTAAACATCCTCTCTAAATCTGTTTTTATGCTCTTCTATACTATCACAATTACACAGCATTCATATGCTAATAAGTTTCTGTTCGTGTATTTCCTCAGGTAAAGATCCCAGGGAAACAGGAGGATGCCTGGATCATGAAACAGCTCATCAAACAGCTCACAGACATGGGCTTCCCTGTGAGTTGAATCATTTAGGTTCACTTTCTAAAGCCATCACAAAGTGTAATGTTTTTTCTCTCCCAACATTTCAACAAAACATAAAATAAGCCTGAAAAATGTGAATTTTGAGACATTATAACTATTAAATTAGTGGATTTTATTAGGGATTTTAGATGATGGATCAATGAAAAGTAGTGTATACTTTTGAACTTAAAGAAAAAACATGGCCTTTTTCAAGTAAGAATCTGAAAATTGTGGCATGCATTTGTATTCAGCTCCACTTCTTCTTATGCTTCTAAATAAAAACCAGCACAACTAAATGCTTTAAGAAACCAGTTAGTGATCTGAAGTATGTGTGTAATTTAATCTCAGCTAAAGTAGCAGCAAAGATCCGTACCTCAAATGGGAGAATCTCTTGAGAGGACAGCTATTAGTCATGTACCACTGAAACATTTTATTATAAGAAAGACTGCCTGAAGACAAAATCATTGCTGAAAGAAAGCCATAAGAAGTCCTCTTTATAGTTTTCTGAGACACAGTAAACATATAGAAGATGCTCTGATCAAATGAGACCAAAATAAATAAAAAAAAACTCTGAAACATGACATGCAGTGGTGATGCTTTTCATTGAGACTGAGAGGGAGGTTCACCTTCACCAGGAGTGAGCCTAAACATGCAGCCAGATTTATAGTAGAGATGTTTACCAAGCACCACTTCAAACACGCTGCAAATGCATGGCAGCCATTTTGGATTTAGAAGTCTACTTTGGTGAAAGGTATCCATTTTTACCTTTTCACAGAGTCTTTTACTTATATTTCCTCTCTGAGTGCAAAGGTGCTTAATTCTGGGGACAAATTCAGTTCACAATTAACAGGATCCTTCAGCCACACCTGGATGCTGGTGGATTAATAGGAAAGTTTCTTTTACTTCTTCTTATTTGTATGCTTTTTATGAATTAGAAGACATGTTACTGTTGTGGTGCTTTCAAAATGTTATATGTTGTGATGTTTGGAGCATCACAACACGTTGTGGAGTTCTGCCACAACATAATCATGCCCTTTCTGTCGGTTTGTTGCTTACAATTCTAGTCAATTACATTAAGGTTTGTGGTTGTAGCAAAAACAAATTGAAACCAGTGTGAATAAATTTGCAATGTACTGCAAGAGTGACACGACCACTCATTTGTCACATGTTTTTTTGCGCAAACAATCGCAGCTTAGCGCAGTGTCGGCGTGTGCTTCATTTCAGTGCTTATGGCATTGAAGTGGTTCGTGTGGTCGTGTCGCAGCTGCAGCACTGATGGTTTGTGTTTTTTTTTTTTCCAGAGGGATCCAGCAGAGGATGCTTTGAAGAGCAACAACATGAACTTGGATCAGGCCATGAGTGCCCTGCTGGAGAAGAAGACAGAGCTCGACAAGCGTGGGATCGGGACTGGCGGCCACGACTACAACAACGGGCTCATCAACAAGCCCATGAGTTGCCCTCGGCCTTCACTTCTCTCCAAAGACCCCTCAACAGACCCTCGCCTGCCCTTCATTGATAAGGTGATTGTGTAAATCTGATGGTAACTCTAGTGGAAAGAAATTAGGGATTACACTGACAGGCTGTGTTGTTTTTTTTTCCAGCAGATGCAGAGTGGAATGTTTGGTGGTGGTGGAGCAGCACAAACCCGGGCCATGCAGCAGCCGCAGCCGCCTCCTCAGCCACCAGTGCCGCCTCTCAGCTCCTCTCAGCCTAGTCTACGTGCGCAAGTGCCTCAGTTTCTCTCCCCTCAGGTATACTTACACTGAGGAAAAAATATTTACTCCTATATGTAGCGTCTCTCTACATGAGCTAAATAGTAGGTTGAGTATAAAGATTTTTCGAGGAAAATATTAAAAGTTGGTACTGGTGCCTTTTTAGCATTACCACATCCCAACGTCCCAGTTTAATTGAGTCTCGAATGTCTATTGTGCCGCCACAGGTTCAAGCACAGCTCTTACAGTTTGCAGCAAAAAACATTGGTCTGAATCCTGCACTTTTAACCTCACCAATAAACCCTCAACATATGACCCTTCTGAATCAACTTTACCAGCTGCAACTGGTGAGACTTTCAGCTTCATCTACTTCACCTTTTATTAGATATATCAGAGTGTTATTCAGTCTTTCTTGAAGACTTCCTTTCAAGCTGTTCTTCGTTATTATGGGGTCAAATATTTAAAATCTTTAGAGATTTTTAACAATTTTGTCACCTTCTCCACAGGCATACCAGCGTTTACAAATTCAACAGCAAATGTTGCAGGCACAGCGCAATGTTTCTGGCCCCATTCGACAACAAGAGCAGCAAGTAAGATTTTCTCTGCGCTTATATTCTTTCCTCCACTTCTAATCACAGAAAAATTCTGCGTGCGGGAGGAAATGTTGCACTATTCTTGTGTTAGTTGTAACTGTTGTTTCTATTGCATCCTAATCCCAGGTTGCACGTACAATCAATAACATGCAGCAGCAGATCCAACAACACCAGCGTCAGCTGGCCCAGGCTCTGCTAATGAAACAGCAGCAACAGCAGCAGCCATCTCACTCTGGTCTGCATCCTGGTGGGGCCAAATCTTCCCTGGATTCATATCCAGGTCACCCGCAGACTCCAGTCCTACCTGACCTGCAGACCAAAGAGCCGCAGTCATCTCCCAACACCTACAGCCCCTACGCTCTCTGTAAGTGTTTGAATGTTATTTTAAGAGAAATTGTGCTTTTTACTGCATCGCTCATGTGATCTTCTTGTGCCTCCAGCTGGACTGAATCCAAACTGTATTGATGTGGGAAGCCTTCCTATGAAGGACCCACCGCTACCGCAGTCCCGGCTGTCACAGTGGACACACCCTAACTCCATTGAAAGCCTTTCTGGAAACTCGTCTCCTCTTGAGCCCAACCTGGGAAAACATGGTGAGAGGAGAACGGGGAGCCGTTTTGGGAAAGTTTTTAGTAATGAATTCAAAGAGGTGTATTTGTTGTCAAGTTAGTTTCTGGGCGCCGTGTGGTGCAGCAGTCAGAGCGGGCGCCACGTATACAGAGGCTACAGACCTCAACGCAATCCCGAGTTCGACTCCTGTCCTCTGTTTCTTTGCTGCATGTCTTTCCCTCTCTGCCAGATTACTGTAAAATAAAGACCACTAAAACCAAAAATTAAATGAAAAAACAGTGTTGAAAGACAGTGAAAACTCTGCAAAATGTTCACTTTGACCTGGACTTTCTGCAAAAGTAAATTCAAGATTACGTTGAATATTGGTTTGAATTTTGAGCTAAACACTGTAAGTCTTACCTGTCTTAGTAAAGAATATTTATGTCTGTGAAATTTGTATTTTAACTCAAAGTAAAACAAGTTTTGACCTTGGTGTTAATTTGGTGAGAGTATTTGGAATACCAGTAGTGACATCTGCTGGTGTTAATTTAATATAACTATCAAATTAAGCACAGTTTATGTCGATAAAATATATATTTTTTTGACTTACTAAGATTTGCCCAGAGGAAGAAAATCAAAAGGCTAGGAAAAAGGCAAAATAATGTTCTATTTTTATCAATTTACAAAGAGGAAAAAAAAAAGATCTTCAAAATATAACAACGGAACAAACATTAAATGTATTTATTTAATGTTTTAGGTGATATTTTCCAAATTGGGTAAATTCAAATCTCCATTATAATTCAAGCAAGTCATTTTAGTTGGTAGAAAGTATATAAACTGTAAAAAAAAATAAAAAATAGGTCTTACTCTCTAAAGTAAAGCTCATATAAGCTTGTTGATTCTTTACCGTCCTATAACACAAATCAAGTTGTAAGTCTGCAATTAAATTCTGGTATTTTTAAGTTAATATTTCAAATATTGTTAAAATATAATCTGTTTTTGATTTTGAAAGCATAGGTACACATACATTATTATTTGCCCTGGCAGGAACAATCCCAAAACGTTTCAGTTTCTTATATTTCATTCTCTAAATTTGTCACATGGTACCTTTATACATTTCTCAGGTGCCAACCTCGGCCCACCTGGAAAGCCTCCTCAGATAGACGACTCCTACAACCCCTACAACCTGATATCAAGTTCAGAGTCTCCGACCAGCCCCTTGGTTCCTCCAGAGAGCTGGGGTCAGGGCAAGAACAGCAGCGACAAGATGGCCAACGGAACCAATATCAACTGGCCTCCAGGTTGGTAACAGCTTGTGGAAACGACGCCATTTTATATTCCATGTCAGTTTGGAAGCTTCTTGCTTAATAAGCATGAAAAGTAATTGCAAATGTTTGTTTTTGTGCTCATTTCTTTTGCTGTATGCTTCAGAGTTTTGTCCTGGTGTACCCTGGAAGGGTCTGCAGAACATCGACCCTGAAACCGACCCCAATGTGACTCCAGGCAGCGTCCCCAGTGGACCTACGATCAACACCAACATCCAAGATGTCAACCGTTACCTGCTCCGGGACAGAAGTGGAGGTAAGACCAAAGGTCAAGGTGGTTCTTGAAGTATAAATAATACAAATAAAAATATCTTCACGAAAGTTTGAAAAATGTTTTTGTCCCAGTCTGAGGCCACTTCTTTGGGTGTTTCTGCAATATTTTTAATAGGTGTTAATACGTGTCGAGCAGAAACAAAAACATTGCATTCAGCGGTTGCTTTCAGAAATCCTGCTTCTTCTCTTTTGTGTTCTTCATTTTCTTACTTTTAACTTCTGCTTTATCCATTGTCACTTGCAAGTTGTCGCTTCTCTGATCACCATTTTTTTCTTTTTTTTATTATTTATACCATTTTCTCTCTTTGCTACTTTTTCTTTGTGTTTGTCTTTCTGTTTGTGTTGCTGACATCGGCTTAGGCTCCTCTCCCATCTCATCTCAGAGCGAGGCTCTGCCTTCGTCCACCGATTGGCCAGTCAGTGCCTACAGTAGCTCGTTCAGTCTTTCTTCCCCGGAGATGGACGACGCAGGTACATGGCTTATCCACAGCCCCCTTTCCTTTCACGTTGCAGTGACAGGCATCATTCTCTCCTCAAATATGCCTTGCAACAGTATTCAGATACATCTACAAAAGTGGCTTTATGGAAGAATGATGAGAAGAAAACATTTAACACACAAGGATTTTGGCTTTTATGACAAAGTCTGTGTGACAAAATCATAATACTGTGCATAACCCTAAACACACCATCCCTGCCTGGATGCACAGTGGTGGCAGCATCATCCAATGTAAGCTTGTTGATCAGAAACTATGTAATAATAAATGCAGCAGAGTCCTGGAAGAAGACTCATCAAATTCTGCATAATATTGGAGGAAATATTTACCTTTCAATCCAAGCATTGCTGTGCCCAAAGCTCCAGATATTTACAGGAAATAAAACATTATTGATGTCACCACTCCTCTTGGATCTATTATCCACATCAAATTCCTTTTGCAGTTTTAATCTGAACTAGTCTGTTACCTGAAACATATGAAGCAGAGCAGAGTTTACACTGTTCCAGTATTTAGTCATGAACGAACTGAAAGTTTTTGTTGTTCCTTTGTTTTTTCTTTTTTCATTACCTTAATTCTTTCCTTCTTTGTGTTCATCCTTTCTCCCTCTCCATCCTATGTTGTCTTTCATTATTCCCATCTTTCCTTCTTCTCTTTGTGTGCCCTTCCTTGTCTCCTAAATCCCTCTCTGCCTTATGTCCTTTCTTGTAGCCTTCTTTCTTGTCTCCACTCGATTCCTTGTGATTTATTTGTTTCCTTTCTGGGGAATCAATGTCTCCTTTCTTACCTCCTACAATCTGACTTTCCTTCTGGTCTGTTCATCCTTCCTTCCGTCCTTCATTCCACACATCCTTCCTTTCTTTCTTGTGTAAATCCTTTTTTCACTTCTTCCAGTTAATGGATTTTCCAGGTCCATTGTTCAAAACTTGCCAAATGTGGAAATAAACTTAAAAACGCACTTTACTATTTTTTATTTTATTTTATTTTAAAATGACATGAAGTATGTTTGGAAAGATCAGTTAGGGAAAGAAGTGGGATTTTAAAAAATCTCAGTATTACAGCGAGAGTTGGCATTTTTCACACTTCAAGTCCTGAATTTTTCTCCCAAACCTGTTTTTAAATAAAATACTTGCGTTTATCTTTTTTCATATTTTTCATGTTACACCAAACATTTGATGTGCTTTCACGTTGTGTGATGGAAAATTACAACGAGAAAAGATAAACATTGACGTTTCAGGACAATACACCAGTATTTCTTACAGTGCTGGAAGCTATATTTACTCACAGGTTGGAGTTTACTTTGGACACCTTCAAAGAACTTGACCGTAGCATCCCTCCTTGGGGAGTATCTGTCTTTCAGCCACCTGGTGTTCTAAGCCAACCACCTCTTTCCTCTTCTCCATCCATCCAGGCAAACTGTCAGAGATGAAATCAACCTGGTCTCCAGGTCCCATCTCTCACAGCCAGGCGTCTCTGTCCCACGAGCTTTGGAAAGTTCCCCAGGGTCCGCGGAGCAGCACCACGGCTCCTTCCCGCCCCCCACCCGGCCTCACGAACACGAAGCCCTCCTCCACCTGGGGCGGGAGCTCCCTGGGTCTGGCCCAAGGATGGAGCAGCTCTTACACCACAGGTAGCGCTTTACTGACATGTGTTTGGTTCTACTATCTGCAAAAACACAAAATCTTAGAGTATTGTCTTGTGTCTAGTACAAATATCTTGGTACACTTGAAATAAGAGAAACTTGAAATAAGACACATGAGTTTGTTTTAAGTCAATGATTTCTTAATATTGGTTTAAAAATGTACTAGTTAAGGAATGTTAATAAGTTATTGACTTAAAACAATCTCATATTTGTTGCTAAAAAGTTACTTGTAAGTTAATTTTGTCTTATTTCAAAAGTCCTAAGATATTTCAAATAAAACAAATATCTAGAAACTAAACAAAAAGTACTGGGCAAGATTTTGCGATTTGCAGTAAAGGACTCGTTTTGAGGTCAGTGGTAATAATAAATGAAAAAACTAGAGAAACAGACATCAAAATGTAAAATCTCTATAGGTTAAGTTCTGGAGTTGTACTTATGGTTTTGTGAAGTAATGAAGTGTTCAAAGAGTGACAGATACTTTCATGTGGCTTACGTCACATTGTTGAGCGTTCAGGGCGGGCGGGTCTAAGCCCGAGTCGTAATCTTGAAAATATGGGGATGACTTGTTGTGGTTGAACATGTCAACTGACTTTTTATCCACTCCACCCATCCACCTTTAAACTTTTTGTTTTCACATCAACTCAAAAAGTCTGCAGCTGTGTGAAAACAGACGTCTGATATCTGCTGCTCTCCCTCTCATCGCAGCAGGTACCACATGGAGTACGGACAGCTCCACCAGGACCAGCAGCTGGCTGGTTCTGAGGAACCTAACGCCACAGGTAACCCTTTCCTCCCAGGGTTTCTCTCTTCTCATGATATAGGAATTGATTCCTCATTCGGACACTTTTTTTTTTTTTATTTATGTTTTTTCCCCCAGATTGACGGTTCCACTCTGCGTACGCTGTGCATGCAGCACGGCCCCCTCATCACATTCCACCTCAACCTGACGCAGGGAAATGCTGTGGTTCGCTACAGCTCCAAGGACGAAGCCGCCAAAGCTCAGAAGTCTCTGCACATGTACGTCGCCGAAGCTTTAGAGCTTTACGAGGAGCTCACGCTAAGACACTGAACACTTGCATTATCTTTGTCTCCGTCCAGGTGTGTGCTGGGGAACACCACCATTCTAGCAGAGTTTGCCGGGGAAGAGGAGGTGAACCGCTTCTTTGCACAGGGTCAGTCGCTCGGCGGGACGACCAGCTGGCAGGCCACCCCGGGAACCAATCAGACCAGAATGGGCGGCTCCGGATCCGGAGTTGCTCATCCCATTGGTCACTCACCCCACTGGAACAACAACAACAACAGCGGCGGCGGTGGCGGCGGCGGCAGCAGTGGCGGGCTCGGAGCAGGCGGAACTAAAACGGGCGGGGAGTTGCTCTGGGGAGGCGTTCAGCAGTATTCCAGCCTGTGGGGACCCCCGAGCGGCGAGGAGGGACGAGTCATGGGGAGCCCCACGCCAATCAATACGCTGCTGCCTGGCGACCTGCTGAGTGGAGAGTCCATGTAGGAGGAAAAACTGACAAAGAGGAGCAAAAACCTTGCAAATCAGTGTGGAGATAATCAAGTGTGGATGTGAAGATGAGGAGGAGAGACGAGAGGAGGACAAGGCTTCATATTCGCTGCTTGGCTTTGTCCGCCTCCTCTGCTCTATTTTTTTTTTTGTCACATTTTTTGCGTGTGTTAAACGGCATTTCAGTCGCAGTTATTTTGTGAGTGTTTCGGATCACAGCGTTTCATTTATCAAAGAACAAAGAAAAAAAAACATTTTACAGAAACAAGCGGGGAAGTCGTTGTTTTAAACAAACTCGAGTCAACTGACATGGCGAAAAACTGCCATCTTTATTCTGGTGGGATCCCTCACTGCCTTTTCAGGCAATCATAATGCACCTCAGAGATCCATGGACAAAGGCGTCATTCCCAAAGTTCTAACAAAACCCTTCAATCAGAGTGGGTGTCGCACGGTCAGCCGGTCCAGACCCAACATTTGTTTCTGTCAGCACTAATATTAGCCTTAAACTGTTTCCTGCCCTGCTATCCACACTCACTCTTTACTCGGTAAAGAAGCTTACGGAGAACTTGCACACCCTTATTTCTGAGCCAATGAAACCTGAGTGGAAAGTACATGCTGCTGCAGCTCACGACGTCAGTGCATTTTCAGTTTTTTATTTTTTTTTCCTCCACAGTCGTATCAACACATCGCTCAAAGGGAATGATGCAACTTTGTTCGCCTTGCTCAAGCCATTTATTTTTGTAGTATTTTTTTATGATTTGTTTTTTTTAACCATTGCAAACAAAGCTTAGAAAATTATGTTTTTCAAATGTGTCTGTCAACCGTATCTGGTGGGTGGATGTACATATGATGAGATGAACCACTGCTAATACAAAGGAACTGTAAAAAGACAAACACGATGATGCACCTCAGCCTTTCTATGGGCTCTTTTATGTTTTGGGTTTTTTTGCAGTTTGGTGTCAGACTGTCTCAGTGACATTTTGAGAAAAATTACAAAAAAAAGAACTCAAATTGTTCCTTCCCCCCCTCCGCCACGCGCCCACTCCGCCTGCAAAACCCACCATTTCAAGCGACGTGCAATATAAGCCACAGACTCTACCGTCCAAGCACCCTACGACTGAGAGCAGACTGTAAGGAAAGAGTGAACTGCGAACACTTTATCTGCCCTCAGAAAGAGAGGAAAAAACTGCCACTACTACCCTTTATCTCCCCTTAGAGAGAGTGTGAACTCAGGAGAGTAGCAAGCTGGTCTTCAACCATTTTCTGTCCAAGACACAAGGACTTCGATACAAAGCACTTCTTCAGCCAGCCACCTCTCCATAAGACTTGTATGTGTGATTTTATGTGTGTGTGAGTGTGTGTGTGTTTGGGAAGAAGGCAACAAACCAAATTCAGAGGAGCTTGTTTTCTTTTCCCCTCACCCAGAAGACAAGATCACTTTTTTTTGTCCATATTTGCTTCGGTTTTAAGAAAGAAAAAAAAAAAAAAAAGAGGCAAAAACTTGTGAATAGGTGGTCTGTCATAGCACTTAACGAGAGCGCCGCTGCTCCTTATACCCTCAATGCCAACGAACAGAAGAAAGGTGAAGCAACACTGGCAAATAAAAACTGCAAAAAGACTTCAAAGCAATCTGCTCAGTGGCTTCTCTGTGTACTTATTTTTTAACGTAACATGGATGTGAACTTTGTTTTTCCTTCTTAAGTCAGTGGGACCAGAGGATGTCAAACACAGTAGCAAAGTGAAGGGAAATGCAAAGAAAACTCAAAGCGCTCATCCTCACCTTCTCCTTTTTTTTTTTTTTTATATATATCAAAGTAAACATCACTGTTAACATTGCAACTTTGAGAACTTTTTACGCCTTGGTGTCTGGGATCGTTCAGCTGGATCCGGCAGGGAGGATCGCCGTCTCGTCCTTGTTTTTGTGTTTTTCTTTTTGGAGGCCCAGCCAACCAGTGTGATAGTGTGGCCACTGAGTGCCTGCCTGCTGCAGAGAGCAGAGCTGCAGCAGCTCTCACCTTTCCCTCCCCGTCGCCACCTCCTTCGCCTGCCCTCCTCCCTGCTGATCTCTCCTCCGACTTTGCGCCGGGAGGAGCTCGGAAATTACTACTACTACTGCTACTATGTCGGAGCATGTCCTCAGCAAGCACCACTTCCACTGTCTGTCTTTCTCCTGCAAACATCACTTTAGTCAAAGATCAAAGTCATTTGAGTGTTTTGGGGTTTATCTTCTGGTTTGTACTTAACTGAATTGCCATGATGCATTTATGTTATTGCTGAAGTTGTTGCTGATACGCGTGGGTCAGGAGGTTCTCAACCTTGGAGAAAAATACTACGGTTTCACAGTATCAAGGTACTACCAAAAGCTCCCACAACAAAAAATGTGTAACAAGTTCCAGATGCTCTTATTTAAACCAGAAAAGCAGTAATTAGACCTACCTCTGCAAAAACAAAAGTATATTTTAGCCATAATTAGAAATTACGGCTACGCAATGTTTAGAAAACAGAAAATTTTAACTTTTACTGCTGAATGTTGGGATCAATTGGAGACGACTTGTGTTTTCCCATCATTGTCCCTGAGTTTGATCATCTCTTTCAATAAGACCTATCTGTATATATTGGCATGCAGCGTGTGGTCGCATTTCATTTAACTCACCAAATAATGCATTCAGCCTGTCCTTTACGATTGCAGTTTCGTATCGTATTATGGCTCCAATTGCAATTTGAAATGTTGTGCAGCTCTGTTGTATTTTCTACAATATAAATTCCTTTTTATTCCAATGTAGACCTCAGAAAATATTTACCAACTAAATTCAGTTGTAAACTGTCTTATTATGCAGAATATTGAACCACTTTCATTCTACTTCAACTGTAACAAGTTTATATTAGTCGGGCTATCGGATCTGGTACCTAGCTTAAAGCTACCTGCCTGACAGTTACTTTTAGCTTGTACTTTACCAGCAATAATGTACTTCTATTAATGATGAACGTTTCTGTGTTCATACTATACTAAGCCAGAGAAATGCAGCCTCATGGGGGACGTTAATGCGCTGGTTTGTACACTAAACTCTAAACATTTTCACGATTGAGCAAACTGGGTTGTATGAATTAAGCCTTAATAAGACTGATGGGTGGCTCTCCTTTAGTCTCCATACTTGGTCTGTCTGTAATTTCTGCAACCAGACATATTTTCTAACAGTCGAATTTTTCTCTTGTCTCAGCATTGGAAAGATTTAGTGGACAACTTTTATTCAGCTGATGGCACTGCGCAGCAACAAGCAGGGGAGGGGCAACGCTGTTAATCAATGCTCTATACGGAAAACACTGGTCACTCCTGCGCTTCCTCTAGCATGTCATTAAGATGACTTTTTACACTCCAATCGTACCTTGATACTGGAAACCAGTCCATGCCTCGCTTCTGATTGTTTATGATGATCATTTCTTTGCTTTCAAATACTGGTCTTTATGCAGTGTTCAGCATCCCTGCCGTCCCTTCCTGCCGCCTCCCGAGCAGAACCGGCGCCCAGTCCCACCGGTACGCCTCAGCAGGGCGGCTAAAAGCGTAATGGGACCTGCGTGCGGTCGGCGTGCGTGAACGGGCTTCACTCACGTTGAACTCTGGGAGCGCTCTGTCACACTTAGAGTCACCTCGACTGACAGCAAGCCTTCCATTTCTATGCAAACGACAAAAGGAGGTGTTTGTCCGCAGCCATCCTCTACATCTGCCAGTCTCCACTTCTCCTCTCACAACTTGTACTACCAGGCAGCTTCTCCTGAAACCTCACTGGGTTTAAATGTAGGGGACACTGAAAGAGTCCCACTTCTCTTTAGATTGACACTAAACCTGCTGGAGACACTATGTGTTGCCCGTCACTCCTTCAGGCTGGTGCCAACAGGATCGCTGGTATCTGCTTCCAATTTCTCACATTGTCATTTATGTTAGATTAAAAGAGTCATTGCTGCTGGGGCGTACCCATGGGGTCGCTGGAGAAGCAGAAGGGCAGGACAGGTGATGCTGGTCTTTGAGGAACAGTGGACTGGAATATATATTTTTTTTATTTTTTAGCAGCTGCAGTAGGAGGAGGAGATGGGAAGGGGGTCCGAGGGAGGTCCCTGTATGTGTCTGTGCACTGTTTATGGGTCACATCGGGTACATCTCTTTAAAAACCAAAAACATTATTTTTTTTTTATCATCAAGATTTTCACAAAACCTAGAAACTACAAAAAAAAAAAAAAAGAGAAGGAAAAAAAACAAAGCTGCGCCCTCAGAAGCTGAGACGCACCTCAAGTTTGGTACCAAGTCTTAAAAAAACATAAAAAAAAAAAAAAAAAACTTTGGGGATTTGCCCTCTTCCAGAGTCGCCTTGGACGTGCGTCGTTCAACAAAAAGAAAAAAAGAAAAGGAAAAAAAAAAAACAATCACTTTTTGCCTGTGCTGTTTGTTCGTGAGATTGTTCCTGAAAACCTGCATTAATGAACTCCACACTGGACTTTAATCATGGAGCTGGTGTTGAAGTTGAGGGGTGGGGGAAAGTGGGTCAGGGGGTCGACTCTCGGATGTGGATTTCTCGGCGCAGCACCAGCACTGACAGCCTCTCTCCCACATCCTCATCTGCACTCTTATCTACCTGTAAAGTGTCGGAAATCGGATGCTCTCCCTACTTTTTACATGTTTTTATTTTATTATTATTATTAATTTTGAAGGCAACTGGAGCTCGAGTAAAACCTGCTTCATAATCACAAATCAGACATGAGTCTGAGAAGGGACCCAAGAAATCAAAGGACTGGGTTGAATATGCACATGCTAGCTCATACACAGTATACAACCAAGAGTACATAATGGATGTGTGTGGCTAGACTTGACCTGTTTTCCCACTTTTACTCCCCTTGCTTCATCCTTTGCCATTTGTTCCCCAGACGACGAGATCATAAACATATCAGAGTAATACAGAATAATGAGAACAAATACTTGAATCAAAAAAGATGCGCCAATAATGTAATGTGAACACTTTTCTTTATTATTGTTATTATTATTATTCGTCTGATTCATACACTTCGGAGATTTTGACAGCGTCTGTTCAGAGTTACTAAAATTTGAAATGTCTGAAAACAAAGATTGATTATTAAGGCAAATTTTACATCTTATCAGAGTGTTTGCACAAGGCTGCTTGTACTGTATGAATGAATGTCTGTCAGGTGTAAAAACACGTACAGGTGCATTTTGGTACTCTGGAAGGACATCAAAACTAAATCGAACACAGCTTTATTGTGCGGTGATAATTTCTATTTGTTTATTTCTGGTCATTTTGATGGTTGTTTTTAAGTGCACACTTTGACTAGGCCCTTTCAAGGTCCTCCCAAGATTACCGTCTTGAACACAAGTCCACCCAATGTTGTTCGCTGACGTCCCGAAGCCTTAGAAATGTCTCTGTGTCCCTTTCCATATTGTTAGTTTGAGGTCTTTTTAGCCTATGTTTCGCTCTCAGAAAGGTACTGGTTAAGTAAATTTGAACTCAGCTTTCCAAAAAGATGGTTACTAACAGTCATTATTTGAGAGAGGAGTGATTATTTTGTCACATATACTCAAGATTTGAAGACTGCTTTTGTATTTCTTCAGTTTACGTTTGTCACTTTGAAATTTGAGTGGAAGGAAAAAGTACAATATCAATAGGGAGAATTCCCTGGTACTCATAATGATCAAAATGAACATAAATAAGCACCAAACTCATAAATCTGTTAGTTTCACTTCTTTAATCATAAACAGAAATAGACTTTTTGATGCCATTCTGATTTATTGAGATGCACCTGTATGAGAGCTTGTGATTACTGCGGAGAACGTCCTCCGCCTCGTATTTCTTTTCATTTCAGTATACTTTTTTTTTTCTTTTTCTTTTGCTTAACTATATTGAAACTATATTGTAATGTTGTAACTAGCCTCTAGCGTTGCACTGAGTGTCGGCCTCGCCCCTCGCCCAGCTACATGAACAACATGATACAAGTACTGAAAGGGAGTCGGGGGGACAGTTCACGTGTAAATGTTTACTCAAGGACTAAAATATGTGTGTGTGTGTGTGTTTTATTTTTCTTATGTAATGTTTTATCTACCTTAGTGGCTTTCATTGTGGAATAATCCAAGAAAGTATGGATCATAATTGAGTATTGCACCATTTTTCAGACTGTAAACTTTAAAAAGAAAGAAAAAATCATATATGAAAAAAAAAATTAAAAAGTACAGCAAAAACAAAAAAAAAAAAAGAAGAAGTATTTTACAGACCTGTGGCCATAGATTGGAGGTAGAGGGACTTTAACTCTCGCGAATCTGAGCAAACGGAGAGTGAAGAGCGAGACATCAGACCGAGCCTTGGCTTCTAGGGCTCACCTCAGAGGTGCCTACCTTTCTGTTTTTATTTTGTTTTCAGTCCTGTCATCTTTTGTTTGTCGTTTCCTGCAAGGCCACTGACAGTTTACAGTTTTATTTCTTCAGCAAAACAAAGGAGGAATCAAACCACACGAATGTTGGAAGAAGAAAGCAAAAGGACAAATGCTTCCATTTCAAAAAAAAAAAAAAAACACTTTACACAAATGAAGATTTTCTGTGCTACTTTCAGAACTCTGGGATTGAACAGTGTTGTCTTGTTCTGTTAACCTTCCTTTTGTGTTGATGTCAATTTCATGAACTTATCTGTTTTTTTGGGGGGGGGTTTATGTCGATTATGTTTTTTTTGTTTTGTTTTGTTTTTCCTTTTGTAGAAAAAGAAAAGGAAAAAAAAAAGGCTCACTATCTTGCACACACACGATTAAAGTGGATCTTGTCTCAGGAAAGCCAGGGTTCCAGAGTACCAACTCCATGCCATTTTAATGTACATTTTTATGTATGATGAGTTTAAAAAAAAGAAGAAAAAAAATGACAGAATTTTAAGCACTGAAAGTTATGGATTTCAGAAGAAAATACCTTTTCTTTTTTTTGTTTCTAAATCCGTAGCAGTTACATAATAACCAAATAATGGACTTTTAAACAAAAATGGAGTGCTTTATAATATAAATCTATATATTAAAATTGCTTTACTTTTAAAAACAAAAGTGGTCAATGAGTTTGTTTAGAAAAAAAAGACAAAAAAATATGGTGAATAACATGCAAACGCTGTATGTTTGAATCTTTGTTGTGTTTTTCTTAATGAGGTCCCGTCCTGACTGAATCAGGAACATTGTGCATTAATCTTTCTGTCTCTCTCGTTCTCCCGCTGCGGGTATTATTATTATTATTATTATTATTATTAATAGATTAATCAGACCTGTTTTGGAGCATTTTTGTTTCAGATCTTTTTGGAGGATGTAATGTGAAACATGAGCTGGTTGTAAAAGGATCATGAATCTATGCACAAGTGTTGGGTGGGGCAGAAGGTAAACGGGGGTCGGGGGGATTTTATGGCCCGCTTCTTCTAAGTGGCTGTTTTATTGCAGGGGTTCTGATGTGTTTTTATGTGTTTTAGTTGTTCTCTAAGGGGACAAACGGATGGGCGGGGTGAAGCCCACCACCTCCAGCTTCCCCCCTGGTCCCTCTTCAGATTGACCTAGCGCTACATCGCCATGCTGTGTATTCCTAAACCAATGAGCATCTCACACTTTAGCACTGTGGGATTCTAGCCTGTCACCCTCACGGGTTTTTGATCTTTGTTTCCTTTCCTCAGTTTTGTGTTATGGAGGGTGAGAGGTGGGATTAGGGCTGCTTTTTTTTTTTTCTTCTTTTTTTTGCCTTTTTTTTTTTTTTAATAAGTAAAAATGTTGTTACTGAGAGTTAATGAGAAGTCAGTGGCTTGTAATGTTTTATTTTTGTTTTCTCTGTATATCTTTCTCCTCATAGAATGTGATCGTTAAATGACATGCACCGAAACAAATGTTTTCATGAACTATGGAGCTTCTTTCAAATATTAATAAAATAGCATTTTTTTTTTCTTGTCCATTTGGCCGTCCTTGTTTTTATTGATCGTGTCGACGTCAGTTCCTGTCGGTGTGTTGCCGGAGTTCACACTCTGACGGCCAGCTGTCGGGGACAGGCGTAGTAGTTGTCCTGTGGCTGCCGGATGTTTGGGTTGGCATAAACTGGGAAGTTGACTTCCTCCGGTTGCGGAGAGGCTTCCTGGGTTATTTTGGGGCTTCCTGCGCTCTGCTGCTTCCTGCTCATTTCCTCATAGATGGGATGATGAGGCTGCGGTGGGCGATGATGCCTTAATCTTACCTATAAAACAAATATATTTCAGAAATTGTATATCATCAAGATGCTTGAGCAACATGCCAGAAAAAAGTCTGTTCTGTCCTACCATCACAAACGCAAACTCGTGTTCAATCAGATCAGACAAATTGAGCTTCTGAAAATCTGTTGTCTTCCACCAGAAAACAAAAAAGGATAACTTCTCCTTATTTAGAAATTAAATGTGTTTAAGAACTGAAGTGCTTTTCAAATTGTATTTTATTTTGCTTCTGTTTGTTTGTTCTCAATTTTAACTTGGGGAAAGTGAAGAATCATTTCTGAAATAACCATCAGGTTTTGTTTGTTAAGGAAGTTGCAGCCAAAAGGAATAAAAATCAGAATATATTAACTCTTTGTTCTACCAACCAAACTTTAATCCTTATAACTAAATTTTCTGTAAATTATTGCATATTTTTAATTGCTTTGCATTTTCAGGAAATAAGATATATTAGTATTGTAGTTTTTTTAACTGTGATAATTTGAGAATCTTATTATAGTCAGTCATCATTAGCTACTCTAAATAAGATAATTATTTTCAGTTATAACTCCCTTAAACGTCTGCTGTAGAGATTTATGTTGGGAAAACAGATGAGAGCATATATCTGATAATTCTGCATCTGAAATAAAAATAAACGCCACTTACACATTTCTCCACGGCCAATAAGCTCACTGTCAGCAGGAGAAGGCCTGCTGCTGCAGCGATGGTGAGGAGAAGAGGGGTGTAACCATGAGAGCACCCGCATGACCTCCCTGTTCCAGAATCACATCATTGTTACAGTAAATCTGTCAACCTATTTCATTTAAGCTTCTGTGAGCTACACACCTTCCACCAGCAGGAAGTGCCTCTGCGGCTCGAGGACGACCTGATCTGAGTTGTTCTCCTGTCTGTAACTCAGCTCCCACATGTAAAGTCCCGTATCACTCAGCTGCAGGTGAGAGATGCTAACGTTGATCCTCGGCGAGTTCAGCCCCCCGCTGAGCTGCAGACGGGCCCCGCGCTCTGGGTCCTTCCTGGCTGTGCTGCCCTCGGCCACAGAGAGCAGGGTGGTCTGGCTCTGGGGGCCGCGGTGGTACAGATGGAGTCCCACCAGATGACCTCTTTCCTGCTGAGGGGTGCAGGAGAGAACCAGAGACCGGTCCTCCGCCAGCCGCTGAAAGATCACCTCTGGACAAGCTGGAAGAAAAAGTAACAAGTGTCAGCCGCTGGTAAAATACAAACAAATTACCGTAGGTTAGTTATTTAATTTAGATCATGGTTCCAACTGTAGCAAACGGCCTCCACCTGTGTGTGTTTTAATCTTAGTGGAGTTCCAAGGAGCAGCCGAGGAAGACCATGTTCTGTTTAGAGAATATACAGACAGCTGGACATTAAAAATCTTTTTGCAATTTGCTACAAGCAGTGGAGAGGACACGGGAAACAAAAGGCCCTCTGGTCAGATGATGAGATTAAAATGGACATTTTGGACCCAAGCAGTTTGTTAATACATATATAGCTGCTTGCTGCTGGTATACATATGTAGCAGAAAACTAAAACTGCATATTGAAGGGACAGAGGACATGGTCAGGACAGAGCGAAGAGCAGGACAATCCTGGAAGACAACTTACAAAAAGCTTAAGATCAGGATAGAAGTTGACCTTCTAGAAGGTAAATGACTATTAAGAAACAGTTGGAGTTTAAATCAAAGCATGTTGGCCTAGTCAAATCCGGTACTGAATCAATTAGAGAATCTGTGAAAATTCCTCTTCACTGATGCTTTTCATCCAATCTGACTGAACTTGAACTACTGAGAAAAAAGATTGAATGAAAATGTGAGGATCTTTGATGGATAATCCTAAGTGCTTCATTGCTGGAGTCAAAACACTTGATTATCAAGAGGAATGTAAATAATTTTTCACATGCTCTTTTTCTGTTAAAGTATGAACAAAAGCAGGTGTAATCACTTTTGTACAATCTTATTAAGTTGTCATAATTTTAAATCAGAAACAAACTTTGTTACCAAATGAAAAGCAAACAAAAGCTAGACGTGCTAGGAGCTTGACCGCTGAGCCTGACTCATATTTGTTAAAACAAAGTTTCAATAACTTTACTTAGAGTTTTCTGTGTGGAAAGTGGAAATCACCTTACCTTCAAAGAGCTGAATAAGGAGGAGGAGAAACTGTAGATGTGTCTTCATGGTGTTAGCACTCAAAGGAAACCTGACAAATGTTCTAGAGTCAGGTCAGAACGTGGTCGTCCCCCGCTCTGCTTTCTGCTGCGAGGCGTTTGGGACAAGCCTTTGGTTTTTATTGTTCCTCACCCTGAAGAACAGGAAGACGGCCTCAAAGCAAGAGCAGCTGTTAGAACACAGAGGTTGGTCTGCACACAGCGAGGCAGCAGATGAAAGGTCTGAAATGATGCACAGAAACAGGGTGGGAAACCACAGAGTTTAACAAACTACTTCTACGGGAGAAAATACAAAAAGCATTTTTTTTTTTCATTTCTGACCTCACTAAATAAAAAGAGAGTGAATTTTCTTCCAGCTGGGGAACCGTCCTGCTTGTACCTTTGATTGGCCCTGATTTTTGTTTTGTTTTGTTTCTATGAAAAAATGGTTGTATTAATGTTAGTGTGGAAAATGAAGTACAAACCTGGTATCCAAACTGATGCATTACTGCCATCTACTGGGTCAAACCTTCAAAACACTTTTGATACATATTTTAAAAACTGCAAAAATTCTGCAAAAATAAATAAATAAATAAAAGAAATTAAATAATATATCCTTAAAACTTGGTTCCCCTATGCTCTAGAATTTAATTAACATTATTCTGATTTTTATGTTTTCTACATGACAGGATTCAGTTCAAGTTTCAGTAAGAAATTCTTATTGTACACAGAAACATCTTTTTTGTCCTTATGGCTCCTTGTTTTGACCTGAATTTCACTGAATGTTGTACAGACATTTTGGTTTTGGTCCATTATTTTGCTGAAGTTGCTACTGTTTTATCGCTTTGATCCAAAATATACTTCAGATTTGGAGCTTTTTAATTTTTTATCTACATTTTCTCTTTTATTTGCTTATTTTATCATTTTATCTGAGTTCTCATTTTCTACTATTCTAACATGTTTATTCTTTGCACATGGTCTTAAATGACTTAACAAAGGATTCTTCTTCTATAGTGCTTTCTGGCAGTTTACATGCTTTGTATTTTACCCCCATCAACTGGACGGAGTTGTAATTCAGACATTTATTTTTTTGTGGGAGCAGCTAATTAGTAGTAATTCAGTGCAGGTGTGCTCAGCTGTGATTTAAATATCAACACTAAGCCGCTTGGTTCACTGTCTTGTCAGTCAGTAGCACTTGCAGTCTGAACCAGTTTGTCAAACTGGTTGGTGGTCCTCATGACTATGTTTTGGCTTTGGTGTGACCTCCTTTTAGGGGTCATGCTTTCTGGAGTCTGTCCTCATTTAGCGCTGGCTCTTAAATCCTCGCTGTACGCGCCGTATTCCTCTCTTCCCAGACCTCGGCCTCAGCAGACTCTTGCCCCGGTTCAACAGGAGCAGCACCAGCCTGAGCCCATCAACACTGTCAGTGTGGTCTGCCACCCTGACTCTTTAGAAGTGGTGATTGCTGCTGATCTGTTTGCAGTTGGTGCTCCGGTGGACAGTCGGGAGTTGCGTCTCGGTGTGAAGGACAATGAGTTCTGCAGAGCGACAGCTACTTCTGCAGAGGAATACAGGATTGTTGTTGGGCTGGACGACTGTGGCACCAAACACTGGGTAACTCTGCCTACTCTGCTGCTGGTTATTTCATTATGTTCATCCTGTTTCTAAACTTCCTACTCTTTAAAGATGACTAAGGACTCCCTTGTCTACACAAACCTCCTGGTTTATGCTCCTCTGGTGTCCCCTAGTGGGGTAATTCACATGGATGAGGCAGTAATCCCAGTTGAATGTCATTATGAAAGGTCTGTATCATTTCCTATTGAACATTTAAATTATTGAAAAGCAGTTTTTAAACCTGTATAGTATTTGCCTTTATAGGAAGTATGGTGTATCCAGCTCTTCACTCATGCCAACATGGATTCCCTTCACGTCTATCCAAGCTGGAGTGGAAACTCTACACTTTAGCTTGAAGCTAATGAATGGTGCGTTCAGGTCTTCCCTCAGCTCTCGGGGCTTCATTCCAGCTCATCCACCATGTTCTTTCATCCAGATGACTGGATGTATGAAAGGGGTGCCAATACGTTTTTCCTCGGTGAGCCAATCAACCTTGAGGCCTCAGTGAGGCTTGATCACCACATGGGTCTCAGAGTGTTTCTGAGCAGCTGTGTGGCCACACTTCAACCAGAGCTAAACGCTGATCCCAGATACATCTTTATTGAAAATGGGTGAGAAACTGAAGATTATAAGTGTCAAAGTAGCTGAGTTTACCAAACATGTACCCATCAATGCATGGTGCCTGTACTTCCTTTGTCTTTGCAGATGCTTGGTTGACTCTCAGCTTCCTAACTCAAAGGCACAGTTCTTGCCCAGGACCAGAGATGACAAGCTGCAGTTAACTATTGATGCATTCAAGTTTCGCAATGACGACCGAGGACAGGTGAGGATGTATTCCTCTACCTTGGCACACATCTTCAGATTGGTTCTCACTTTCTTTCTCTTTAGCTCTACATCACATGCCACCTAACTGCTGTGCCTGTAAATGATGTCGAAGCACCAAACAAGGCCTGCTCTTTTCTGAATGGAAGGTGAGTGAAATTGGTAAATGAGTTGGCAGTGTGACATGAATAACAATGAATCTTCTCCTCAGATGGCGATCAGCTGATGGTGACGACTACTTGTGTGGATATTGCAAAGGCCAAAATAAAGCGCTGCGCAAGTCTGGCATTCCTGGGATGGTTGGTCCTCATGGTTTTGGGAAAGTAGCTGCTGCTGAATCAATGTGGCAGAGTGGGCTGAAGACTAGCGAGGGTAAAGACTCTCTCCCTCATGTCTGTTTGCATTGATTAAATCAGGGGTGGGTAATCCTGGTCCTTGAGGTCTGTTGTCCTGCAACTCTTGGATGCCTCCCTGGTCCAACACACTAGAATCCAATAGCTGAATCACATCAAGTGCAGTCAGGTTCTCAGAGTCCTGCTAATGACCTCATTATTTGACCCAGATGTGTTGTAGAGATGCATTTAAAAGTTGCAGGAGACTGGCCCTTGAGGCCTGGAGTTGTCCACCCCTGGACTAAATGGTTTCTGAAGAAAAAAACAATTTTTTTCAGCTCTGTGGGAGCAAGAGGCTGGATTGGGTCCCCTGACTATCCTGCCAGCAAGTAAAAGTGAACGACTTCCTTTTGAGGAGCTCCCTGCTGTCCAGAAACTTTACAGACAGACGTTGTATGGCAGCCACTGGAGAAGTGGAATCTACAAAACTGGTGGGTTTAAGTGACTATTTAAAAGTCATAACTCGATGTTCATCTGGTGAAATGGTGTCTTCCAGATCAGGGGAAGGGACAGCTTCGTGAGCGCTCCATCTCTGAACTAGACACTGAAAATGAAACTGGACTGAAAGGTACAGTCTTAAAATCTTGCTGAGTTTAAGTTGGCCCTATAATTACTTGATGCATTTTTCAGGTGACTTTCAGGAAGCAGGACTTCATGATGAAGCAACCAACAAGTTCACACTAAAATCCTTAGATATGTCAATGGCCAACACAAAATCTGGTTACAGCAGCAGCACATCTACAGTGAAGAATGCAACTGCTACTGAAATTGATCTATCTGAAACAAAGAAATAAAATATTTGTCACTGGAGTTTTTCCTCTGTAGAGTTACTTGAGAAATCCTACCTGGAGTCAAACTTTTGTAAGTGGGACATTTGTGCTTTGGACACATCTAGTAAGTTTCCATGAATATAGGAAACTATCAGAGCCAATTGTCATAGGTCAGCTGAAATTTTTCAGAAACTGATTATTTGGGGTTTTACCCTCCTGCAGTTTTCAAAAATTCCACCAGGAGGAGCTGTACATATCAAATGAGGCTTCTGTATCTTGGCATTAGAGAGCCTGTGAGAATGAGATGTTAAAAGATCAAAATATTGGAGAGAAATGGCATATCAAATGAGTCTTGATGAAATTGAAACATTGTGCCTGAAAACTTTACTGTTGACACTCAGACATCTGAAACGATACACAAATTGATTGGTTTAGAATATTGGTTGAGCCTAAATATACTCTATTTCAGTCATGTTAGTGCTCCACTTGGCCTGAGAGTTATGACTTCAACTAATGCTTTACTTTTTGATGAAATGACTATTAATGGGTTTTAATGTACTTGGGGAAGGCACATAAAATACTTGCACCTTCACTAAGTAAAAAAACATTCAAAGTATTAAACTTTCTTCAGATTTTCAACAAAAACTTTACACAAAAATTGAGTATTGGGAAGCCCACATAACTAGAGGGGGACATGGGTTATGCCTGGTCAGACAATGGGGCTTTGGAAAACTGGGTCTAGAGGTTGAGTACATTTTTAAAATCTATTTAAACCTGTTGACAAGTAACTTTCTCCAGATTATAAAGATCTATAATATGTAACATAAATTCCTACATCAGGGTGTTAAACCTGCAAAGGAAGAACAGATTTTGAAAAGACAGCTGTACCTGTACATATAGAGTTCAATGTTAACACACCCTCTTGACAAAGTTTGGCTAAACAAAGTCTGAGCTGCAACACCAGTACCAGTATTTCTCCTCTCAATGCCAGTTACCAATATCAAAACAAATGTTTCAGGGAACAATTTCCACATTTAACTCTTCAGAATAAATCAAGAATCAGAACCATGGGCACTGAAAGCTGAGCAATGTTTTGAGCAGATTTCAAAGAGTTGCACTAAATTGTGCCTCTCCCACTATCTTCCCAGTTTGCTAAGAGAGTAAAGCAGTTTACAGCAGATGCCATCTGCACTATGCTCTGCCACACCTTAGAGAACAAAACCTCTATTTGACTTGTATTTGACTTCAGATAAGAGAGAAAACCTTGTCCAATCAAACCAGCTTACTGATAAAAATGAATTTGGATCCAGGCATGTGCATGTGGATTTTAAGACTGCTTAAACCACTTACATTGCATGTTCACATTCACATTCTGGAAATGACTGAGACACATGAAATCAAGCAGCCCACTATTAGTGTTAAACAACTTCCTTTAACCAAAGAATGTTAGCGTTTATATCAAGTTTGATTATGCTTTGATTATTTCTTAGCATATTTATTTATTATAAACTGATTCTAAATGTAATGTGAATTCTTCCTTAACAAAAAGATTGCTGAAAAATTTTTTGTTATTTCTGCTCTCA